CTGCAGCCCTCCCTGGGGGAGAGGCTGGGGTCAGAGGAGCCGAGCTCCTGCCCCGCTCCCTGCAGTGCCTCTGTTATTGTCCTCGGAGCTGCCCCTCAGGAGCAGCCAGCAAGGGGGCCCCTAACCCAGTCCATGTGCTCTGCCCAGCGCCCTGCCCAAGCTGAGCGAGAAGAAGCAGGCCTTCAATGCCTACAAGGCCCAGCGGGAGAAGGAAGAGAAGGAGGAGGCTCGGCTGAAGGCCAAGGAGGCCAAAGAGGAGCTGCAGCGCTTTCTGGAGCAGCACGAGCGCATGAGCTCCATCACCCGCTACAGGTGGGCAGAGGAGAGGAGCCGAGCTCCCACCCCGGTCCCTGCAGTGCCCCCTGGGGGAGAGGCTGGGGTTGGAGGAGCCGAGCTCCCGCCCTGCTCCCTGCAGTGCCATCTGGGGAAGTGGCAGGACACAGGGGCCAGGGAGCGAGTGGTTGGGCATAGGGGCCAGGGCGCAAGAGGCGGGGCACAGGCTGGGGGGAAAGCAGGGGAACCAGAAGAGTGGCAGAGGGCTGCAGGGGAGGGTGGCTGGGCAGGGGGATCGTCCCCTTGGTTTCTGGGACTTGGCCTTGGAGTGCTGGATGGAGGGTCCCAGAGCAGGCGGAAGGCTAGGAAAGTGCACATAACAGCTGATAGCATTCAGGATCCAGCCAACCCCTGCGCGTCTCCCACCCCCTCGCCGGAGAGAACCCAGGAGCCCTGATGCACTGGCTGTAGCCCCAGAGCCCCCTTTGGCAGGGGAGATGTGTGAATCCAGTGTGGAGCTGTTCGGCAGGGTCTGTTGCTAAGCAGCAGCAGGCGGGTTATTACCCACATAAATTTCTCTATCCCTTCCACACTGTAGGGACACACACCGTTACCTGGCTCCTAGGGCTCAAGGTGCAACCTTGTTCATTTACACACGCACCCTTACCCAATTCCTAGGGCTTAGGGCGCATCTTCCTGCGGGTTGGCAGGATCTTTAGCCAGTGAAAGAGCCTCACACAGTAATATCCTTATCCTCTATTTATTGACAATTCCCAAACAAGCAGAATGCACATGCTAAGCACACAGTGTTATGCTCACCAACCCTGGTACAGGCAGACTTCCCCTGTTGGCCAGGCAATATCAGTCTCTCTGGATCTTAGCTGCTGCATGTCACGGTCATGCAGGAGAGTCCTGGCAGCTCTTATCTTAGGCTGTCTCGGAGGTGAGTTCTTCTTTCAGGTGTTCCCCCTTCTTGGTGTTCCTTGTCTCCCTTTGGTCTTCTTCCAGCCTTTTGCTGCTTTCCTTCTGCGTCTGTTACTTCCGATCTTCCTGGTCTCCTTCTTGGACCCCAGTTTATATAATGAAACCTGAGTCTTGCTTAGCTATTCCGTAACCAATTATTTTAGTATGATTCTACTAACCAGTCATAACAAAATTACCTAACCAATCAGACCCCACCACCTTAATTGATTTACACCTAGCAACATTAATTATACAGCAGACAGAAACAGTTACAAACCACACAGAGATCACACAGTCAAACAATAGGGAAGTGTAATGACAATGATCATAGAATGAGGATTCCACAACCTCAAGTATTGATGAGCAGTTTCTTGCCAGACAGAATGGTGCAACTGACGTTTTCTTTACCCATCTTGAGAGCTGTTTCTTTATCTGGACGTTTTCTTTACCTATCTTGAGAGCTGTTTCTTTATCTGGTGACAGCGAGGGGCTCTCAGGACAAAATCCCCTTCTCCCAGCCTGGTGTGACACTATTTTAAGACAACTTAGATGGAATGCGAGTATGTGACTAGGCCTTGCGGCTAATGGCTGCTGCTCTGCAGTCTGGCCAGCCTGGTGTGACACTATTTTAATACAACTTAGATGGAATGCGAGTATGTGACTAGGCCTTGCGGCTAATGGCTGCTGCTCTGCAGTCTGGCTGCAGAAGGTGGCTTTGGCTGCCAATATGGCTTCAGGCCTTCCGTCATGGTTACAGAACAACCATATTGTTACAGGGTGGGGCCGAGCGAGGTTCAGGGTTCCCAGCCAGACGGCACGAGAGGTTTGGCCTTGCTGGGCGCCGTGGGGCTAGGCTGACGGAGGGAAGTAATCTCCCGGGAGGTGGCAAAGCCCATGCTAACATCAGGAATCACTGACTGCTCCGGTGCCTTCGGATGTCCCCATCGCCTCTGCCCCCAGTCTGCAGGAACCGTGCCGCCCCTGGCCAAGCAGAGGGCCCATCCCGCAGGCCACGCCCTGGCTCCACCACTGGGGGCGGGAAATGTCTTGCTGCACTCCTCCCCGGGCTTGGGGGCACAGGGGGGAGCCTGGCCCAGTAACCGCCTGCCCCGGCCATTCCCTTTAGGAAAGCCGAGCAGATGTTCGGGGAGCAGGAGGTGTGGGCCATAGTCCCAGAGCGTGACCGCAAGGAGATCTACGACGATGTGCTCTTCTTCCTGGCCAAGAAAGAGAAGGTAACAGCAGATCCCAGCTGTGATGCAGGGTGGGGCCGGTGTGACTCCGCCTGGTGTCAGTACGGAGCCCAGACTATCACATGATGGTGTCTGGGCAGGTGTGACCCTGCCCAGCCATCATGCTCCATAACCCCTTATTCAAAGTCAAAAACCGCCCGTGGTTTACAATCAAGGCAGCGTGTGGGTTCTGCCAGTGCCACTCAGCCTATGCAATGGGGGGTGGGGGCGGGTGTGTATCGAAGGGCATAGAGCCCTGGAGGGGGAGCGGGATTTCCTTTGCTTTAGGCTGTAATCACGCTGTCAGCACCTCATGGTGTGCCGCTGGTGACGGTGAGAGCAGTGCTGCTGGCTGACTTGTCTCCGGCTCGGGTCGCATCGCCTGCGGGGTGAGGGGGGTATGGTCACCAGCGCTAGCAGCTTGCATCGCAGTAGCCGCTGCTCTGGGGGAGTCTGTGTGGAGCCAAAGCAGCGGGCAGGAGGCAGCCAGCGGGGCGCCATGTCCCCCGGGGTGGGTCCCAGGACAGGGGGCGTTTGACACGGCCCGTTTCCTCCGCCCAGGAACACACCAAGCAGCTGCGCAAGCGGAACATCCAGGCCCTGAAGAACATCCTGGACAGCATGAGCAATGTCAGCTTCCAGACCACCTGGTCCGAGGCCCAGCAGTACCTGATGGACAACCCCACCTTTGCCGAGGATGAGGACTTGCAGAGTGAGGGCAGCCCCGGACCTCTCCCCCCACACCCTGCCACAAGATAAATAGTACAGCCCACCCATGCCCCTGCCCCAAGATAAATGGTACAGACCAGCTGCAGAAACCCTCCCCCAAAATCAATGATGCAGTCGGACCATCTCCCTGCCCCTAGATAAACGACACTGACTGACTATGGACCAAGATAAAAGGCCCATCACCGCCCCCAAGACATATGGTACAGGCCCATCACCCCACCCCCTACCCCCAGATAAATGGTACAGGCCCATCACCCCACCCCCTACCCCCAGATAAATGGTACAGGCCCGTCATCCCACCCTCCTGCCTCAAGATAAATGATACAGGCCAATCATGCCTCCCCTCCCGACCCAAGATAAATGGTGCAAGCAGGCTGCCCCCCTGCTCCGAGATAAATGGTACTTTCTATCCCAGTATAAATGGTACAAAATAAATATTACAGATCAGCCACTCCCGTACCCCAAGACAAGTGGAACAGGCCAGCCCCAGGATAAATAGTATTGGCCGGCCATGCCATTCCACCCCAAGATAAATGGTACCGCCTCACTTCCCCACCCCCATGATAAATAGAACAGGCTAGTTCCTCACCCTTTCTCCCTGCAACCCAGAAGTCCTGGTGCCCACCCTGCCTCTAATCCACGGGCCCCACTCCCCTCCCAGAGCCAGGGACAGAGCCCAGGAGTCCTGGCTCCCAGCCCCTGCTCTGTAACCACGGGGCATCCTTCGGATGAGGGTCCAAGGGTGGTTACCACATGCCACTGGCTCCCCTGCCATGGTCCCATGCTCGCCCAGCTCCTTCCTGCCCTCCCCCACCACTGGTGCCAGTTCTGCCCGCTCAGCCCGCGCCTCTTGCAGACATGGACAAGGAGGATGCCCTGATCTGCTTCGAGGAGCACATCCGCACGCTGGAGAAGGAGGAGGAGGAGGAGAAGGAGAAGACGAGGCTGCGTGAGAGACGCCAGCAGCGCAAGAACAGGGAGGCCTTCCAGGTAGCGGCGCCCTGGGGCCTGGAAGGGGGGGATGGCTTGATTTGCCTGGGCCTGGGCTCGGTGGAGCAGGATGGCCTGGGAGTCTAGGTGGAGGCTGCCTACCCATGGAGGGGCATTCAGGACTCAGCAGAAACAAGGATGGCGCAAGAGGAGGGGGGTATCTGGAGAGCGCGCGATGGCTGGTCACTATTTGCTGTAACTCTCCCATGCCCAGGGCAGCACTGGTCAGTGCACATCAGCAGGGACTAGAGAGCTCAGCAGTTGGCCCTGAGGACTGGAACTCCTCCTCCTGGACTTGTTCCCACAGTTCTGGTTTGAGCAGCTTCCCCCTTCCGGTCCTCAGCAGCCCACCGCTGCTTCCCTTCCCCGTCCGGCTCTGCAGCAAGAGCCATGGGGCCCAGAGCCTTGGACGGAGGCTGGGATGTGACTGTTCTGTGCTGCAGGGTGGCATGCGAGCATGGATTGGAGTGCACGTCTTCCACGAATCCTGTCTTCCACAATTTGAAAAATCATGGAAGATGGGAATGATTCCAGAGGACTGGAAAAGGGCAAATCTAGTGCCCATCTATAAAAAGGGAGATAAGAACAACCCAGGAAACTACAGACCAGTCAGTTTAACTTCTGTGCCAGGAAAGATAATGGAGCAAGTAATTAAGGAATTCATCTGCAAACATCTGAAAGATAATAAGGTGACAGGTAACAGCCAGCATGGATTTGTAAAGAACAAATCATGTCAAACCAGTCTGAGAGCTTTCTTTGATAGGAAAACAAGTCTTGTGGATAAGGGAGAAGTGGTGGATGTGGTATACCTAGACTTTAGTAAGGCATTTGAGACGGTCTCACATGACCTTCTTATCAATAAACTAGGTAAATACAACTTAGATGGGGCTATTGTAAGGTGTGTGCATAACTGGCTGGATAACCGTACTCAGAGAGTAGTTATTAATGGTTCACTATCCTGCTGGAAGGGCATAACAAGTAGGGTTCTGCAGGGGTCTGTTTTGGTCCTGGTTCTGTTCAATATCTTCATCAGTGATTTAGATATTGGCATAGAGCGTACGCTTATTAAGTTTGCAGATGATACCAAGCTGGGAGGGGTTGCAACTGCTTTGGAAGATAGGGTGATAATTCAAAATGAGCTGGACAAACTGGAGAAATGGTCTGAGGTAAACAGGATGAAGTTTAATAAGGACAAATGCAAAGTGCTCCACTTAGGAAGGAACCATTAGTGTCACACACAGAATGGGAAGCGACTGTCTAGGAAGGAGTCCTGCAGAAATGGATCTAGGGGTCATAGTGGACCACAAGCTAAATATGAGTCAACAGAGTGATGCTGTTGCAAAAAAAAACAAACCTGATTCTGGGCTGCATTAACAGGAGTGTTGTGAGCATGACACGAGAAGTCATTCTTCCGCCTCAGTTGGAGTAGTGTGTCCAATTCTGAGCACCACATTTCAAGAAAGATGCAGAGAAATTGGAGAAGGTCCAGAGAAGAGCAACAAGAATGATTATTGGTCTAGAGCCATGGTCATCAACCTGTCGGCCACCCCATCCCCCATTTTCCCCCCACCCGCGAGAAGCCCCACTACCTACCTCTAGTGTAGTGCTGGCTTCCTGCAGGGTGGATGGAAGTCCTGGGTGAAGCCTGCGTCACTTCCAGGGACTCCGGAAGAGCACAGGCTGCTCCCCTCCCACAGCTCTGTCACATGCTGGGGGAGGGGGCATCAGCTCCAGAAGAGGGGTCCAGCGGCTTCCCTGGGAGGGGTGAATTAAGCGCAGGGATTTCCCTGCGCTGTGGGAGCAGGGTTGGCTCTGGGGTTTGGCCTGGGGAGGCTCCTGCGAGGGTTTGTCCGTGCGGTGGGAGGGGGGGGTTGTCCCCGGGGGGGGGTGGCGTGGGAGGTT